CGCCGATATTCCACAATGCGAACAATATCGACAGTCCTGGAAACCCGAATAAACAGCTTTTATCATAGGTTCTATATCAGTGGAAAACTATTATGTATTCATAGCACTGTAAATAATGTATTTCAAAATCAGATTTATGTGCATACAGTTTGCTGGCTAATTTGCAAAAACAAATTTAATATGTACATGCAATATGATATTTATATCATCGCATAGTTTTTTAGAGCCATAATTTTTTAATTGCTGTTATGAAACTATTAGCTGAAGTGCCTTATTCTAGTTTTCAAGTCGACGACATTACGTATTTATATGACGCAAGCTCCGCAAGACGTTACTTTCAATAATAAAAGAATGCAGATGACATCTCTTTTTTTTCCGTTCTTAAAATTACATTGCATTAACCAAGTTTGATGCGCGAAAAATGCTTATTATCTAACCAAATGCGCTCGGTGGCTATGAATGTAGCCGATATTAATTTATTTCTACAACTTTTATAAAAGCAAATTTCTAGTAAAAAAAATCCGCTTATCCTTCAAATATTAATGTCAAATTAATAATTTCGACTTATCCAATATAGCCAGTTGAAACAAAATCTATTCTCAATCCTTTTGCATTCCTTCTTTTTCCACGAATATCATTGCTCCATTATAATGTGCAATACTTATTCGACTATTCCGCGTCATAGACGAAATATTTTACCTTTTGTCAGAACACGTATTGGACTTTCTTAAATAATAGAGAAATTCCTGAGTTTCTCGAGTAATAACAGCGAAGCATTCCGACTCTGTAATATCGCCCTTACTCTCAGCACCTCCCACACTCCCTCACATTTTACTTGCCTTTACTGTAGCTGGCACCTTCGCGTCCTTTGTCGATGCCCTCGGTGCTCTCTCGCGAGTACGCGCACGCCCACCTTCTTCACTTTCCGTCATGGCAAAGCCTTTTGAACCAGGTTTACGAGAACCAGTCTTAACAAAGCATACAAAATATCGTTTTCCTAGCTTAAACACCCCAGTGTATTAAATAATCAATAACGTTGCATTTTCTAAAGTCACACACCCGCACGCTCCTTTTCGCGCGTTCCTACACTCGCCTGGCTCCTCACTGAATAAAACTCTTACGATCAAAATAAAGCCGAGCGCTTATGCTCGGAATAAAATGCGACGCGTCTCTTGTACATGTTCCGCAACTCACGACGTAAACGAAATTTACGGCACTTGCGCCGCCTTCTCGTTCGCGCCAAATATTGAACCGTCTAAAACAATAAAAACGAGATTTATGACGTACGATAAATTAAGCATTTCCATGTACACGTCACCTCACCGCGAAAACTCTTGCGCATGCTCTTCGAAAATATATTACGCTTTTATCTTGCTAGAAAATTTCGTTAGAAAATGTGAGGATATAAAATTCGCAACATTTTCAATCTTCGAAATTCTCTCCAACACATAACGCTTTATATAATATTTATAGATCCATAAAGTGGAAATGTACCGTACATGTTCAGCTATTATTCAAACATTTCAAAAAATTTCATTTGTCTTGTTATTATTGCATTTTGACTTTAAGTGGACTTTAATTTTTATGCTATACGAAGTGGTGCATCCTGTACTTTCATTCATGATTCATTGCTAGAGATCTGTTCGACTGCACCTTCTTGAGAAATTATACATGTATGTACTGCTATATATATCTACGTCACGATACAGGTGGCGGATTACATGTATTGGCACTTCGTCTAAACCGCGACGGGCGTTCGATCTTCAATCCGGAAGCTTGACTTCTTCCCCTGCATTTCCTATATTTGGACTTTCGTTTTTCGATCGGGAAAATTTACGACCGGATAAAAATATCTCAGGAAGCAGGTGTCTCAAGACGCGATATCCGCGCATAGTAGTTCAAGTCAGTGAATGATCAGACCTCGACGTTTGAGATGATATATATGGAATTTTGTAGCACAATTCTGGCAAAAAGAACAATTTTTAAATATATTGTATATAAAATTTATGGAATTAGTAAAATTTAAAGAATTATTTACTAGTAACAAATTTTTTAACAAACACATTGTAAATAAGTTTTTTTGATTCAACAGCAATTCCAAATTTATTTTTAATTATAAATCTCTGCGTTAGTTATAAATAAATATAAATTATTATCATTTAAAACAAAATTTTTATGAATTTTAACTCGTTTAGATTTAATTTATCGCGATTGTTAGAAAATTTATACAAATTTATAAAGAAAGATAGGACCAGGCAGTTCAGTAATTTTTTTAATATGAATTTATACCGATATTTGACTTGGAAAAAAACGCAATCGATTCTATATTGAATTATTTATATGTGCTCTTGCATGGACAGGAACGAATAATGGTAGAAATATAGTCGAGACAGAATGATAATGCTATCTCTGAACGATTATGAATGATGATGAAGTATCCCTGTAATTTTCTATTATTCATGAATCATGAATCATGATTAATGACGCATGACACAACCTTTTATCCGCTTTTCTCTCATCACTTTTTACTATCATCAAATAAATTTGCTGTTATCAATGATAATTCCGACTCTTCTCTTTAGATGTCCTTTGTCAATCTTCTATTCGAGCTATGTTTTACTTCGCAGAAGTCTCCTTTGCACTTTCAAGTGCGCATGAATTCGCGGAACCGCATTAGTTGCTCTTTTATGGTGCACTTTACGGTCTTTGGGAGGAAATTCAGTTTCAGAAGAATTCTCAGGCGCGACAGTGAAGCGCTATCTTTTTTTCCCCTCTGCTCTTTGCTCATCGATAAAGCCGGCACGGATGAAATGGTTCACACCGATATAAGATGTCGCATACAAGCTGGCTTCATTATAGCCTTACTTCGTACTCGAAAGTTCCTCTAGGAAATTTGAAAATTATGTACCGATGAAAAGCAAGCAAGATGAAAAATAAAAAAAAAAAGAACATGAGAACGTAATTGCAACGAACAAAATTGAGAGAAATAATATTGTAATTATCTGCAGAAACTGTTTATTCTTTTAACCAATTCAATTTAACGACAAGATCACGGAACTAATGATCTAGGATTTATTGCGGAAAGAATGCCTGTGCATCAGATTTGCAAGATTAATCGGAAATCCTATCGAATATCAGCCATGAAAATATCGCAGTTACGAAGACAGTAGTAAAATCGACAATATTTTACTAAACTAAACTAGAGAACAAAAAATGCAATCTATACTAAGTATCGCACACAGCGAAATCATTTAACTTCTTACCCAGCGACATAGCTGCAAACGAGTTTGATTAAAATTGTGCTGACAATCCGAAACTTATTACAGAATCTAACGAGAACGCGCCCGTAGGTCGCGTCCGCAAGATCGATCAGGAGACGAAAATTACTTTCCCTTTAATCACCGTTCTATCGACTATGAAAATAAAAATGTTGCGGTCGTGGCGACTGCCTCTCGGGAGAATTTCCGCCCGGGTGTACACTTCCGCTCTATTTTTTTCCACCGAGCCGCTCGCGAGAGCGAATCGAAAGGTGAGGTGGCATGCGCACGCCTTGGAGAGTAAGGTGTTCTTATATAAAGAGCGGTCGTAAAGTGCTGAACGTCGCTTAAAGGGTCGTCTTCGGGCTGCTATTACTTCGAGAAGAGTACTTTACACTATTACCAATATAGGAAACATGACAGGAAATGATAGAGTTGAAGGGCGGAGACACTAGCTAACCTTAACTCGAATCTCTCTTCCTATCTCACCTTCAAAGTTCTGACGAAGAATGTTCTTATTTCCTGTTTCACTCACGATCTTATCCGTGCCACTTCGGTGTACAAAGTGCAGTGACATTAGGAGAATCGTATATCTAATATTGCTTTATCGGTTAGTCAGCTGGATCTCAAAAACATTTTTAATGCAAGCATTTCTTCAACGAGAAGTGAATTCTACTCTTCCTTGTTAGCATATGCTTGTTTAGTTCTTTGAAATATAAAGTGTAATGTGTGCGATACATTATAAATTATTAGCACAAAAATCAACCTCTTTGATTAGAAACAATATCTGGTTGAAAGTTTGAAATATGAGACTTTCGCATCTTAACGTGTCGACGAATTTTCGTATGAATTGGCATGGTTTAAAAAAATCGAATCAATCTTACTTAGGAAACAATAGCTCATATTTTGCCTGATGCGAGAGACACGCCTAGGGTAGATTATTCAAAAATTACCGCCTGTCACTGAGAACGCACGTCGACTGGATGTTACGCGAAAAGTTTCGCCCTTATCCAGGACATGGATGGCAGGCGATCAATCCCGATGCCACGAACTCGAAGAGTACTATCACGTTGGCGAAATTGATTTAAAGACCGCATCGTAGTCCTTTCGTTGAGAAAGCCACTGCCGCCGCGGAATGAAATTCTTGTTTCATTAATGTAGAATAGAGCGCAGTACATAATGTTGTCGCGCGCACATTTCCCCGGTGCATACAAATTGCTTTGTCTCGACGGCTATTTTTCTCGTCCCGACCAGAACGATCGGGGCAAATACGTTCGGCGTACGAAATTTCCCTTTACGACCATCCTTTACACCACCTAATCCCCCTCGTAAAAGCCGGCGCTCGCGGCGACGAGACGCAGCTCCGCGCGCTATAGAACGCTGCGAGGAAGAGAACTTTCGAAGAAAGCTTTGAGACGTTGCGAATAAAAGGAACGATCTCGCTGAGGCGAAATTGAGGCGAGATTTCAGCGCGGATTTCGGCGGAAAACAAATCGGACATCGTCGCGTTATCGAATTCCCAACGGCGACGTAAATTCGGCAGATCGTTCGTCGCGGCAATACGATCGTTTTCAAACGAATATATGATCGCTGTCGTCCGACTGTTGTGAGCGTGTAAAATAACTACGTAATAAATAATATTGAAAGCGTACGTTGCAATTTCTATCTTAGGCGAATGATGATTTATTTCATTTGAGAGCGCGTAAATATACGTATTTCAAAATAAATGTCTTTATTTTTCAGAGTTTGCCACAAACACCAGCCGGTGGTGCTGGTGGGAAGGCAAGCGCGAGTGGTACTGGTTCAGGCGCTGGAATGGTCAATGGTGCCGGTGCCGATCATGAAAACATTCGGGACAGCGCTAGCATAGATACAGAGCTCGTAAGTATACTGTAATTTTATTAAATTTTTTATCCGCTATCGACAAGTAATAAGATTTAGCATATATACACTTCATCCCTTTATTTTTATGAACCGTGCGTAATCGATGATTTGACTATTAGAGCTTTCTCTCACACGACCAATGTAGGGCTTACAATTATGATAGATACAATGAAGTGCTCCATGTTTTTAAAACTTAATTCAATATTTTTAATTGTTCGCGGCAAGTTAATGAGTTTCGTCAGACAAAACGGCACAGCCCGACAATGAAATGGAAGTAGAACAAATCGTTGCCTTCCTTTGTCGATAACTCCGACGCTTTCGGAAAAGTTCTTCGCAAGTATGCCACCGCGACAAAAGTTTTATCATGGCAAAAGAACCGACCAGCAAAACGGCTATTCGCTGCGCTGGATGCTATTGTTTACTTCGCTCTACTTCAGTTGGCGAACGCACCTTTTATTGCCGCGTACCACGCCGGGTCCAGTGAGGTGAATAAAGAGAAAAGGGGAAAAAAAGTTACGCCGACATGTCATGGGAAATCAGTGTGATTATGCTCGACCTAAGTCATCCGCGGAAGTTCAACATTCAAAGCTTTAAAGCGCAAGCAGCTTTAAAGCTGCACACATTTTTGCTATCAAAATAATGGATCTTGAATTTTTTTTAAACTCAACTATTTTAAAATTCTGAAACTTACTTCAATAGTGAAAGTGACATCGTGATGAAATTAAATAGTAGTGTAAGTTTCTACGCAGACAATTTTTTTACAATAGGAAAAAAGGAAATCCGTGCATAAGAGAATTCAAGAATTCTACATACGTGCGTGTATAATGAAATAAGTGAAAAGAGAAAAGGAAAGGGGAAACAGCAAGATCCCGGAAAGCATGCAATACGGAATCTAACCAGGCGGTGGAAGCTAGATGGAGTTCAGGAATTAAGCGATTACTTCCGAAGTTAACTATTGTTCCCGGCAGTCCATCAATCCGCCTCCCCGACGATCCTCCCTGCCGTTTTTTCGCACGTCGATCCGTTCGCACGGAATTAAAACCGTTATCTGCGTCTCTCCACCCGCTTCGCCGAGCTCCAAAGAGGGATGGGCGATAAAGGGTGGATGAGGGTTGAGTCTATGAACATCGGACAAAAGGGGTGCGAATAGAGATGGAATCGACTGGTCATCCGCAGATCGAACCACGCGATCAAACGATACGTATATGTGATGCCATCAATACATCATCACATCACCGTCATCATTCTATTCGTTTTTTTCCGAAAACAAAATCTCAATCTCTGTTTTTTCACATTTATATCTTAGTATGCGTTTTATATCAACATCTTCAAATAATTTTTATACTCAGTCATTAATATTTGAAACAGTTTACAGAATATAATATTTGAGTTGCAACTAATATTTTTGAAAGAGTATAATTTTTTTACACACACGCGTAACATATATGTATGTCAATAACAAAGCTGTCTTTGCCAAAATAGATTGCTATGTCGATATTATTCATCCGATTTTATGGCCAGATTTTTAATCGAGCTTCCGCAAAAGCTCACGCCTACCATGATTGTTCGTTCCAAAATGTCGGCGCTACGATAAGCGTCAACAATTTTTTCATCGCTTTCCTCTATTCTCTCCTTGCTCTTCCTTTTTTCCATCTCGGTCGGATTTTTTGCAATTTTTTGGTGTCTATCGATTTACATGCGCCAGCAAAATCGCCGATGCTTACGTCGTTTGCTGCACTCGTCTAGCAGTTTATAATCGAAAAGTGACGGGACACGAGTTTCAGTAGTACGACAGGCCAGATGAAGTCGGGCACGTTTTATCATGCTCGCTATGACTCGTTGTCCTGTTTCCTGGCTGTTCCAATATATCGAAGCGTCTCGCCTCTCATGACCATCTTTACGTATTTGCGTATTCATCTCTGCGCGCTTATATGACAGAAGTAAAATTGGAAACGCGGAATACTGGGATCTAGAATATTTATATCTCGCATATTCTCATGTCGATATGTAATATATATAGCTTCCAGAAATCGCAATGCATTTTTCTTTATGCTCTGTTTCAAATGCACAAACAAACGCGAGGTGCTTTGTGTACATATACATATATATAAGGAATAACATTCTACGCATATCTAAGAAGACGGGAAAAATTAAAGCTATAATAATAGATATTTAAAATATGTACACACATTTTAATTCTCGTTCATCAAAATAATAAAAAAAAGTATTATATTAAATTGACATTTATCTATCTTTCGCCATTAAACATATATTTTAATATATATACTGAAAGCCATAAAATTAATTAATTTATCTAATAGATTTTGGTTAAATAAGAAAAACTCAAATTTGATAAACAGCCTCCGTGCTTCTTATATTCTATTAGATTGAAAGCGTTATCTATTTACACTTTTGCCTCTCGGAAAAATTGTACGTTAAGTCGATTCGTGTTGTTTTCTCATCGCACGAGTAGTTCACCACAATTGAGAAAGCGGAAAATTAGGCGCCGACATTTGGAAGTAGCACAGCATCCGGTTGTTTTGTTTCAACCACCGCCGCCGGCATCATGAATCCCTAGGAAGAAGAACTAATTCCGTAATTGCGATCCGAATTTTTTCACGAGGAAAGAAAAAGGCGGATAATACGCGCACAATTCTTCGACTTTCGCGCTTGCCTTCCCGAAACACGCTCTGATTCACTTCACATCCGCCTCGAAACTGTTCCGCGTCGCTCTCTTCAAAAATTTACTAACATTAGTAAAAATATTGTAATAACTCATTGAACGTGAAATTAAATACACATTGACAAATTACCAAGGAGGACATGCCTGATATTTACTACTATTTAAAAAAAACATGAACGATCTTATGATTCTAAAGTTAATCGCCTTTTAAATCGTAATTTTTTTGCGCTTTTTTTCGATCGACCGATTTCGTGAGCGCACTTAGCAATGACACAGACGAATCGCGAGCGTAAAAGTCTATCCTGCGTGTCCTGTAGCAATTCTCTGCGGTAAAGAAACCAATTCCGTTGCCATTATGCCGCCAATCTATTTTCTGTCTACCCGAAGTTGCACTAATCCCGAAACTTCTCTCACGCAGACGCGAGTATTAGACGCAAAACGTCTTTAAGCGCAACAATTATTCGTAAATATCCGACGTGGCTTTTTGCGTCTCGCACACTTTGTTCCTTTTGCTCATCCCGGTTATTTTTTAATCCTTACTTTCACGCGGAAAAAAAGATACAGAGGAAAGGAAGAAAGATTATGGTTATTCGTTATATTTGCGAACAGCGAAGTAACGAGAAATTTTATGAAGATGTATGCTGTACATCCGCTAACACCGACGCTCGCATATTTGCTTAATTAAAAGGTAGATTAGCGAAATGTCTAGCCGAAGTTGCTAGTAACAATACGCGCAGCACTATTGTGATTATGCAAATTTCTTTAATTTCTCCCGAGCCATCTGCGACGAGCGTTAATGTCGTGTAATAAAGGAACGGAGTTGTGAGGAGAAATACTTCTTATGCTGTTTGCGCGAGACATTTTTTAACTAAGAGTTCTGCAACTTAATAGATGCTCAGTACTGCGTAAAAATGTAATTAACAATGCGAAATAGAACATGCAAAGTGATAGAACAAACTTAATGTTCGAACTAATCAGAATTCTTTTGATTCTTATAATTAGATGTAATTTTTATTTTCTTTAGATCTTTTTCTCTTAATAAATTTCTCAAACAATATTTTTATCTTCCATAACGTTACGTAAATAAAATGTAAAGTTCAAAAATATTCTATTCATAAACTTGTTTTATAAATATATTTTTAATTACAAGATCATTATATCATAATGTATTATTGATAAATTAATTTGACACGCTAAGATTAAAAACACGAACTTTCATGTCTCGGAACGTGTATAAAAAGCTGTAGGTATTCGATATATTCCATGTCCTTGAAGTACAAAAGTGATAGGAAAAAAAGGAGTTTCATGTAGGCTCACTGTAATGGTGAGAAGAGCGCCGAACATTTTATTAAGCCAGGATACATAAAAACCGCAGTCAACTAATGCGGAGGAGTACAGACGGGTGGAAGGGCATTTGTCGAAGGGAGAAAAGAGAATGCGGCGGATAAAAAGGACAGGAGAGAAAGGAAAGCCCAACGTGGTATAACAAAGGAGCGCTCGCGGGGGCTTTGAATTCACAACCCTTTTCCTCTTCCACCTCCGTTATTTCCTATCTGCCCAGCATTATGCATTTTTCTTCGCGTATATCACAAAAAATGTTAGCGAAACGTTTCATACTCGCATTCACAAGTGGCCGCTATATTAAATCCTTCGAGCATGGGATGCGTGCGTGCGAATTACGGAATATCGTAACGCTGTAACATTTGATAAAAGTGATGAGCATACGGATGAGGAAAATCGGACGTTTCCAATCAAGACGGGAATGAACGGCGAAAAGCACCAAACGTCAAACATTTAAAAGAGAGAGAATTAACGGGAAAATTTCGCAACGTAACGCACGCTCGCGGTATATACGACTTTGTAAAAAATTCTTTTATGGCAAAAATCGCGCAAACATTGTACGATTTCAAGACACTGCATTCGTTCAATATTTCTGTCGACAAGATACTTAAAGTCATGTCTGATAACACGAAACATTATTTTCTGTTTTGCATTGGAGATTGATTATTATGATAAGAGACCATTTTTCGGCACAACATGCAATTTCTAGAGAGCGAGACAGTGTTTTCTCTTCGATCGATGGAGCTTGCAACTATTTTGGATTCTTTGTCTTGAGACTATCGGATTATTCCGTGAGACGGTTTACGCGCGCCATGCACATGCAGTCACTACGAGGGATAACATTTCAGCGATGTAATACTATGCTAAATACGCTTCGTAACGCTCGCATAATCCTAAGACATCCAAATCTTGAAAAATGTTATGTTGCTGGCGCGGGAAGACGACGCTTGCACTGCAAACATGCTTGAATCATAAATCATAGGAATAAGCCGTGTACAAACTCGTTCTCGTTTCATCACCCTCATTGTTTTATCATCTGATAGCCCGAAGATACTGATAAAGTTTGTAATACATTCATCTGACATGTACGTTGTGTACGGTATTTATTATACCTCGTCATAAAACAATTTTTAACGACTTTCTCCTTTCAATGCAAAATCAATTGTTTTTAAAGAATTTAATTTTTGAAAAATAAATAACAATTTGATAGTTTATGTTAATTGTGGTTAAATGTCTTTAATTTGATTTAATTTTGCGTAAAATGTGTTTCGAAGTTTTACACATTTTTCTGAATTTACACTTTAAGCTATTAAAAATTGACAAGTTTTGTAAACTCGATTAACGATATGTCTCTTTTTGTATCAGTACTGTTTACTATGAGAGAGTTTCATAAAAAAAGTTTAATTAACTACATTTATCTTTAACCTACATGACAGCTAGAACGTAGCTCTATCTGTCTACTTATAACACTGCAAAATACTACCTGCTCTTCAAAATTACATTATTAAAATACAATATTAATTGATTATCTAAGTAAATTTCTAAATTGTGGAAATTTAAATTGATATTGAATGTGAGAAATTACTGTCCAATTTTCAGAGCAGTGACTTCTTTTATAAAGATCACATATGTATGTACAATTTGCATTTGACAGTTACTTCGCTTGCGTATGTTCAACATAGCGTTTTCCATACAGCATTTTTTTGCATTTCATCATTTCATTAATAAGCCACGTAAAGCGAACGAAGTTATATCGCGGATGTTAAAAGCTTTATTCAAAGTACAAAGGCGCCCCTCACAGCGAATGCGCGTTTTTTTCCGTTTTTTCGTCTGATTAATCTCGCGTGCAGAATATTCCCGCACTTTGTTCGTTAGGCTTTTACATTTTTGTCCCGCGTGGCCTTAAGAGCTATATTTCTTCCCTTTCTTTTTTTAAATAAAAAGTAAGTTAAACTTTCCATCAACCCGCGAGAAACTTTCTGTCCTTCTTGATTCTTCTCATTTTTCATCAACCTTACGATTAGTCTTTACGAGAATAGCTTTATCGTTTTAAGAGAAGTGCTCTACTTAACTTTTATCTTGTCCGATTTTTCTCACGTAGGCGCGGAATTTCTTTCGTCCGCGGCTCTTTGATAAGCTGTCACCTAATTACATTGTCTTAGACAATATATACTTTATTATTGGAGGATTCCTCCAGCAATTTTTTTGATCGTCAAAGATTGATTATTATATTTTTATCGCCATACTTCATGAAAAGAATGGAAGGACGAAAAGAAAAAAGACGCTCATTACATGCTCCAGTTCTGAGCGACTCTCGTGTGCTGAAAAAATAATAAAAATAATCTTTCAACATTTTGAAATTCTATGCAACGAAAGCCTAAGAAATCCACTCAAGTTGTAAATATACGAGAAAAGAGAGAATAAAGAAATGACTTTGTCGCGTGAGAAAAGCTATTTCAAAATGACGCTTAATACCTTTCCGAAAACAGACGTACTCCGAAATGAGAGCACGAAAAAGAGAAACCAGGAACAACACTGGTATTCACTTTGTTACTTGCAGTTAACGGGAAATAGGTGGCACGGATGGAGACGCTTTACGACCCGTGGAAACTTCGTAATAGTGCCGTACCGTTACGACCTCCCGCCCTCCGTTTCAATAAACTAATTGAATCTAAAACTTCCCAAAGCCACGTAAAGTCCTAGTTGAACAACATTCATCCGCCGGCATATGATAAAATGCCGCGTAGAATTGATGCTAAAGCGGCTAGTGACATTTATTAGAAAACGATTATGAACGTGGATTCTAAGTTTCACACACGTGTGTTAAAGGGAACAGAATATCGATCAAAGGTCGAGGGACGTATGGTTAGCGTAAAAACGAATCTAAGAAATGTCTGAAAAAAGTTAATTTCATGTAACTAATTTAAAAGCGTCATGTTAAATTCTTGTTGAGGGAAATAAGGAAATATGAAGATTTCCGAAGTATCACAAAGAGGAGGATTCTTTTATTTGCTTTCCTTCCGGTGATTACGCAATGCTTTTACAGCGGAGAAAGTCTAATAAACACTTTAATGCTCTCGTTGGAAGCGTTTTATACTAAAACCAGTTACAGAAACAAATGCATTATTGAGATAATAAAATTACCTCTAATCAGATGAGAGGATTCAGAAGGAAATTAGGATAATTTAGCGGTCGAGGGTGAATTTTCACACTTTCACATTAACTCGTATATCCCGACCGGCTGTTGGCATGAAAACTTTCTACATCGTTCGCGCGAGTTGAAATGAAAATGCTATCTAGTCGATGTTGCACGGAAGTTAAGCTTAAGCCATTTGAATCCTTCATGGATCATATAAGTTTACCAGTTAGTCGAATGCTTTCGAAATATATTGCAATGAGATTAATATGCGAAAATAATTACTGTAATGTGAGCAAAATTCATCGTAATATCGAAAGAAGGAGAACTTTCTCAGTGTCTTCTTTATGATAATTAATTATATATCGATTGAATTTATAAAAGATTCGATATTTACTTCATTAGTCTATTTACTTCATTAGTCATTCAATTATTGATATGATTGATTAATTATTAATAAGATTACATGCAGCAGAATAATAAACATGTATAATAATTTTATTCGTATAATCGTTGAGACAAATTTACCTATGTAATTTTCAATTAATATCGTCGATTATCGAGATGTTCGGGTGCGTCGAAAATTGGGCGATCATTTGTGACGGAAATATTACCTCGTCAATGCCGCATTAAGACGCAATAAGTTTAAGTTGGAACCCAATTTGAATACCCGACAGCTTGTTAGAGCTTACCTCGGCTGTGAGTGCAACTTTAGCGATGCACAGATTTAGCATTCGCCAACTTTGAAACGAGCTAACTCAAAAGCGCGTTTCGCGGAGGCGTTCGGCAGTATCTACCAAGCAAATTCTACATTCCGCGCACGTATCAACTCGTGAAAGTACCACATACCGAAAACGTTATGCAGACGCATGATGGAAAAGGATCAAAAAGCTTCAGAATTATGCACTACCAACTTGTGTGACGCGTACCTATGTAAACATCACATGAATACGTTACATCAGCGTTAATAATAAACACGCATACTTTTAGTGCGCGTGTGTAAAATTGTCATTGAATATGTATATAAAAAATTAAGATAAAAATTTAAAATAATGCGAGAAGATAAAAAATTGCTGTTTAAAAAAATGATAGATAAATTTCTGAGAATGAAAATGTGCATATTTTGCATGTGAAATTTTTATAATCTTACGAGAATTAATAGAACATTATAAAAGTTTTGATTAAAATTCCAATTTTGGAAAACTAAATTTTCAATTTTTTAGCTGCATTTTTGCTAAAAAAGAAACATAGATCTTGACATTGACAGAAAAGCTAACGAAACGTAAAGAAACGTCATCTGTGATATTTTAGCTTCTCGCTTTCAGAATTTCATTACTCATGCTAAGCCTTATTATACCGCATTCGCTACGTGGAAGTACGCTGAGTTCGCAGCGTCGTGTTATCGCGTTACCGTACTCAAGCCAACCCATATACTGTTTCAGGCTTTGGTGTACCGAGATGGCAACCTCGTCTCAGGCTCACTCGAGGCGTTGGTACAGCACATGGTGCCTACGGAAGAATATTATCCCGATCGGGCGTACCTCTTCGCCTTTTTGCTGAGCGCCAGGCTCTTCATCAAGCCGCACGAGCTTTTGGGCGAGGTTTGCGCTCTGTGCGAGCATCAGCAGAATCTGAATGGAGAGGGCGGTAAGGTGAGCATCGTTGTACTTCCGCGAACCGGCACGAAGCCTTTTTACCAACACCGCGCATCCACGAAGGCCGTGTATTATCGTTTCATCACAGAGCCGTGCACCCTCGTCTAGTCGCACTCTTTTTTTTCAGTCTCCTGTTTCACCTACCGCGAAATAAAAGGAGCGCAAAAAATTCTGTCGCTCTATCCACAGTTCCTGTCTACCTTACATCCGCATGAGATAATTTTGTTTGACTTTACGGTGAATCCAGGACTTGAGATTCCATTTTTTAGTCATTACAGCTATTCTCCATTTCTGTGTAAAATGTTTGCCTAATGTTAGCTTATACGGTTTATAGCACAATACAAAGTAAAATCAGTACTTTAAATCTTTTTACGTCAACTACAAAATAACATCTCGAAATAAAAACTTACCCTCGTTACTGGAAAGCGCTAAAAATAAGAAAAGTGAACAGCTATACGTATTTCAGGAACGATTGCATCGCTTCGTGCCGCGACTGGTGCAGCTGCTGGCGGAATGGACAGAAACATTCCCGTACGACTTTCGGGACGAAAGGGTGATGGGACACGTCAGGTCCATCACGCAGAAAGTCGCTGCGGTCGACGCCGCGGCCAGGCAGGAAGTTTCGGCGCTGCTGCAAAACTTGCTGCTACGACTGACGGCCCTGGAGAGGTACGAGGAGGGCCTGGCTAGACTGGCGACCGAGGCAGCGACGGAGCAGCTTACGCAGGTTCGTGAGTTTCGGTACAAGCGCCCATTTGCGGCCGTCAGCTTCCATTTCGCTGTCTCGCCTCAGCTTAGTTAGTGGCTTAGCGCGACGTTTTCCGAACTACAAACATCGTCGATCTCTCCAACGCAAAAGTTCATACATGGTGATACTTGTTCATTTTGTCAATCTAAAAAAAAAAAACGAATTAGTAAAATTAGTGATGGGAAATCGACATAATGCAATCAAAATTAACGTGACGTTTGTCAGATGTATAAATAACTTTGCTCCGCATAAATTAAACTTGCGGATATAGCACGTGCGTCGTAAATGACCGCGAGCATTTAGCTGGAATCCGACGCAAATTACACCCGCATATCCGCCCAAAATTTCCCGCATTCGAATTTTCCACGCAGCTTGCATCACGGGGCTTGATTATTTTCATCTGACATCACAAGTTGGAAAGAGAAAACGCTTGATCGCGCATTGACCGCAGGTGCTGCATTGTTCCATAATTTCAATATGGATTTATATTCGCATAATCCGGCTCGCCATGTTGCAAAGCACGATTACTCGGTTTTACCGTAATCGCATCGACCCTTCGAGGACTTTCGGCATAATGAAGCGATAATATTCTACCTTCGGGCAACTGCCCGTTCCTTTTTGTATCTCTCTATTTCTCTCTCTCTCTCTCTCTCTCACTTCCGTCCGTTCCGCATATGGTTATTGTAACACGGCCGTTTCATGAATGCTGGTGGATTCTCATTCTTCTCTCATTGGTGTGTTGTGCTCACGCACACTGACTGAAATGCACAAGCTTAGACATTTATGCGCGCGTACGCATTTTACGCGGTTAGTCTAATGAGGTTGGTATAGTTTCCATGCCGAGAGACGTTAACCATTCCGTTAATTTCATTATCGCGCGCCTATCTGCCGCCGCTTATAACACATCCACTAATAGGTAATTTGCAGCTGTATTAGTTAGTTAAATATACTGAACTGGTGCTGCGCGCGGCTAATCGTTACGAAATTGTGTGGTTGCACGCCTCTATAAATGCCGATCGGATTATTTCATGTAAATGCACGAAAAAATATAATGACGCTTGAGGGCGCAACATTTTTTGCGATTTTAATGGCTGTAAGTTATAACGCTGTTGTAATTGAATTATTTTCCAAAATTTGCAATCACAAACGCCTTTTACATCCGCGGAACAACTTGTTGTCGCTTTTAATAAGATTTTCTTACATAAAATACTGCAAAATAAAATTAGATTCAGAGTTTTACGCTGCGTTAAAAGAAAAATTTACATTTATTTAACATGAAAAAATTATTTACATTACTCGTGCAAGAAAAATTAATATCTCTAAAGAAAATTTTTGTATATTTATTTCAGTTGACAAACTTTTTGGTTTAGTGCATATAATTCTCTGACTTCAAATTTTTACGATCTCGTTAAGGAAAATGCAAAACTTCAACTTCAAACTCATAAATTTATTCATTTCAAAACCATTAATATTCTATCTCATTTATGATAAATAGTTTGGAACGTGTCCAAAAATCATTTTGTGCTCTAAATTGGATCATCTTCCGAAACACTAATGTAGTGTGATATAAACGACAGTTAGGAAAATCTATGCTGAACTTACGTTCGCAATAATTCTGCCATGAATACGAAATAAGTGTTACTTACGGGGCAGGAGTAAAGTTGGCTATTCGTATGTTTAAAACGAAAATTTCCATTAAACCCGCGAGATAGAATTTCTAGCGAGTTCGCTCCGAAGAATATTAAAGCGGACACGGTATTTGCCGACCGTGTGGTAAATGTCGCTAAATTTCTACAGGAAAATAAGGCAATTTCGCAATCTCCCGGATATGAAAACGCAGCTTCTGCTTTCTGTAAACTCTTGATCGATACAGACATCGATTTATGTAAAAGAAGCAATAAATATGCGGTAACAATTTATATTATCCTTTTGTAACATTACTTTTTACCGCATACTCTCTCGGCATAAATATATGAAATTTATATTTGTTTTAACTATACGCTTGTGAGTAGAAATGAAAGATCTATCCTTCGATATTTTTCTTTATATATTTCTTAAAAATTTTTGCAATTGCATCGAAGAAAAAGAGCTATCAATTCCATTTCGGTCGGCTCAACGATTTCTTTAACGTATGTGACTCGTGATTTGCGCGGAGATTACTTGTCCTGGCTACAAGACAGCCCGGAAAGGAAAGACGAGAGCTTGCGTGCGTAAAAAAAGGGAAGCGCTAAGAAGAAGGGAAGAAGACGAGACTAGAAATGAGACGAGAGGAGCAGGTCGAGCTCTCGCGAAGCTCCGGCTTATTAAACCTCAAGTTTGCTTCGCCGTGCTTTTTCAACTCGTTCTGTACGTGCCATGGTGGCAGCAACTTCGCGTAGAAACGAGTTATAACTCTCGAGACCAATAATTCGGCCTTAATACTGTTTTTTTTTTCCCCATCTTCCTATTTCTTTATTTTTTCTAAAAGTTTCAGCCGCGCTTTACCTTCGAGGATTTTTAGCCGTTTTATAAATTACAACATCGTTCAATATTTGTCATTGTTTCAACGGGCAATGTTGCGCACGTTGCTCTTGAACTGGCAAACGCGCGGGAAGACATATTATGTCGCGCTTAAAAGCATTGCGTTACTTGCGAATTTCGAGCTATGCTGTTTTATTCGTCAGCATAGCGATATAAATAATCCCAAGCGCAAGAAGTTAAATTATTAGTTTGCCGTACTTTCGCAGCAATCGTTACGTGTCGCACCTTTCTTCAGAAAAAGAACTTTTCGCTCAAGACGCGAAGTAACTTACGAGACCAATAATGAGTTTTCGATATTTGTTTTCTTTCTATCGAGCAACTTCTAAGTGCATCCTGTATCGAGGAGCCGGCAGAAACACCTTGAGATCACGACTACACTCTCTTCGTCTTTTCGTCGTTAGAAATTTCGTTTTAACTTTCAATTTATTTTATCTGTCGATTCGGTCGAGTCTCGCTTTCTTCAAACAAAACTTTATGAGAAGAGATGTAGCGTGTACGCGACAATTTTTATCTCGAACTATCTATTGTTTTGCTTTATTTCGAAATTGACTCGTTTTCTTGATGAGAGTCGACGATTTTTGAAAAACAACTCGGTCATTTTGTGTAGACATCATTTTTTCCGTACTGCATAATAAATTAATATCATCTGCATTAAACCAATTAAATTAAATATGTAAATTGTTAGAGTCGAATACGTCAAGCGCAAATACTCATTACCTTACAAATTACCGAATATTAATTACGTACAAAATTTTTTAACGATGAAAAGTATTATTTAGGGTGCTAGAAAAATTTTTGTAATACAAATTTAAGCGAATTTTATTTTATTTTATTTTACGCGAAATGCAAATGGAAAATGTCGTTTAATTTTTCTCGAACATAATTGTAAGTGGGTTAAACTTTTTATTTTTGCTGAAACAATTTCATCGTGTGATGATACAGAGACAGAACACTCGCCACTAATCACCCGACGCAAGAAATCGCACGAATCTCGCAATACGATACTCGCGATATTGCGTACAGCGGAGCGATATTGTGTGCATGGTACACTTGCATATCTTGTAACAACACTTCTTTGGACATTGCGCCGAGTATTATCGCTCACCAACAAATCTCCAGGCAACTCGTAACTTCGCCTTAACCCGAAACCACCAACCGATTAGGTCTTTTCAACGACTTTACCCCAGTAAACTACCGCGAACTAACTTCGCCGATGTTGCTTGTACTGATTTCATTATCATGATTAACCGCAGAAGCGAAACAAAGCGCCGCTCGATAACTGATAAAAGAGGTGAGAGCTATTTTAAATGTCGCGACGCGGTCAATAGCGAATCCCGAACAATGGCACCTCGTTACGTTCCTTAAAAACGAGCAAATTTACAACCAAATAGTTAACATCGTTGTTAAAATAATCTTTTCGTTCCCGCAATTGACTTTGGAAGAAGAAAGTATAACTGCAGTTGTTGGAATAAAAGTTTCGACCATCTCGTAACTTTTTCAACGCGAACTTTTATGTTTTTTCTCCGTTAAACGAACTCAGTTTTCATCGCAGTTATGTACGTTTATTTTTTTGCACTCATGCTATTGTTCATTTTTTTTTTAAACTTGGTATGCAAGCAATTTGTCTTTATGCTTTTACATTGTCGATCGCAAAAAAGGAACGCAAGCAGCGACGGAAATTTCTTTTGTCAACGTTGTGCGTTTACGGATTTCTTTTCATCTGTACAGAAATATTATATTTCGATCGCTTGCCTCGAAATACTCGAGATGGCCGCGATATCTTTTATACTCCAAACCGAAACTCCTTCCCACATAAAAAAAGACTCTTGAATTTCCTCTCTTACCGGCACTCTCGCCGAGCAATTTCTTCTTCTCCTAGTTAGCTCCTGTCCACTTCTGTGCCCGGCACTTCGATAATACGATCGGCGATATAATTTGATAGAGGGAAGTCCGTCCCGGAGTGCTATTTCTTCCTAAACGGATCACGCGGCCCAGTGATTTTATTCGTCGCCTCTCGCTGACATCTTTTCTCTCCTCTCCCGCGGTTGGGAAATATATATATTTACTACCCCCTCTACCACTCTTTGTAACAATCGAAAGCTGCCAAAGCGTGCATATCCGTATGTGAACATACGTTTCACACAAACGTAAGATGAGAGCTTAAGAGTGTGGGAGATGCAGTCTGTAAGCTCCATTCTTTCTTTTTTTCTCCATCGCGCCGACCTTTGAGACGCCGCATTCGAGCGAATATCGTCGACGAGTCAAATGGAATAAAGCGAACAGGGACGAGCAAAGAAATCGAAATCCTGAAAAGCTGAAGACCTCCTAGAAACAGAGGTGGAAAAGTTTAGAAGTCAAAAACGACATAGCAAACGGTGTAAATGCCCGTTTGTACTGCAATATCGATGAGCATTTCTTTTCCCGCATAATCCTTCGTCCTTTCGTTTCTCTTGTAAGCTACTATATTCACTCACGACGAAATATTTAAAAACGCATCTTGACGCATATTTAAACTACTTATGGCTTTTTATTTTGTGAAATAAATCAATTATTTTGAAAGCAGCAAATAAATTCACATAATTTGTAAGAATTTTATTGCTCTTTAAATTCATGCTCTTCGAGCCACTCTTCAATTCAGTGTTATCGTTTTGTTTTTCAGGTGGACATCACTGAACTCTGCCCATCAGCCACTGTGTTGGCACAACAATTAACTCACGTGGAACTCGAAAGGCTCTCTTACATCGGACCCGAGGAATTCGTACAAGCTTTTGCAAAAGTACATACATCTTTAAATAATAAAAATACAATTATTTTGTTAAACAACAATTTAAAAATTATCAAAATATCATATTTTATTAAACACTAATTATTTCATCTAATTATGTTGCCAGGAATCGCCGCATTTAGAAACATCCTTCAAAGATATGAAGAAAACTAGGAATCTCGAATCATACGTTCAATGGTTTAATAGACTGAGCTACTTCGTAGCGACGGAAGTGTGTAAGGTAAATATCACCATTTCAACACATATCGAAAAATATTATTTTATTAAAAAATATATACGATTATTGTATTGTTAAAAACTATATAATTTTTATTTCCATTTTGAATAACGTTCAATAAAAAAAATCTTTCAATAAAGTAGAAATATTCTTTTTTATTCAGAAAAAAATTGAAAAATGCTAGATATTTCATAACCAATTTTTTTTTGACAATATTTCAGCATGCGAAGAAGAAGCAACGCGTTCGTGTCGTCGAATATTGGATCGAAACTGCCCGAGAATGTTTTAACATTGGCAATTTCAATTCCCTGATGGCGATTATTGCTGGCCTCAACATGTCTCCGATATCTCGTTTGAAGAAGACGGTAAGAATGAATCAATTTTCTTCTAATTGACAGCAATATTTCTTATTACTTTGAATATTAAGATAAAAAATTTAAAAAGAAAGGGAAAGTAATACTACATTTGGAAACTTTTATATCTCTAAAAACCGCACAAGAGAACGTCAAATATAAACAAATAAATTTATTATTATTTTTAATATTATGAACATTTTCTGTAACTGATACATTATATATTGAATTGATGCAATTACTTGGAAAATTTTATTATGATTTTGCAATAACGATTTTTGCGAAAATTGCGGCCGTCAAATTGAAACCGGCATCAATATGCGTTTTATGCGCATGAAAGTCCCCACAACAATGCATGCACGTATCTCCCAATTTTTCGATCGCGCGAAAGCGCGTTCGAAAAGTGCGAAAATCCGCAGGACGGTTAGCGCTGACGCATTTTTTGGCGTTAGAGCGCAATGTGGGAGATAATGGCAAAGCGACACGACCGGTATTCTCGTTCGTTTATACCCCTTCGCGGAATTGCACGCCAGAGCAATAAGCGCCCTGTAATCCTCGTAAATCGAGCGTGGCGCGCTGTGACGCTCAACATAGAGGGTGACGAAACACCAAAAGCCAAATTTTCGCGCCGTTTTTCCGCAGAGAAAAAGAGCCGCCAAGAACGATTATGCACTATTGCACACCTATTGCTTAGATCAAAACAGTTCATTAAACGCGATCTTTTTTCTTGATGAACGATAAATTTAATATTTTAATTTTAATATTTCACACAGAAATCAACGCAAAATTATTTCCCGATGCCTCGAAGAAAGAGATGTTATGCAATTGCTATCAGTGAAAGGACGGCGAAGGCAGAGCGATCAAATTGGCTTGATTGAATTTTTCCTGTCGCGATTGGTCGCGGCAACGCAGGAGAGACCCAAAATGTGGCTCGCGATCTGGGTTAATTAAAAAGTTTCAAGTCAAACGGCGTTGCTCGGCAACGTTGTCCTCGCGCCATTGCCATTCCTTTCGTCTCGTTGGGAATTAGCTAATTGCCCGACCGACGTTCCACGCCCACGGGAGGGTTCGCGCCATTACGTATTCTCGATTTCCACGCGGATGCACTTCGTCCAGGAATTCCTTTAATCCAGACGTCGCTCCCTTCGGAAAACGCTCCTTCGACAGCTTCTGAAAGCTTTTACTTACATACATATAGTTAATATTTTAATCTCAATAATAATAAGATAAAAATAAAGCATTGCTCGACAATCAAGAAAGCTATCTATAAATTATTTGAACGTTATGGATAAAGCATTGATCTCTATTATTATATGTATATGTCATCTATATTAAAATCTTCTTGTATCTAATATAAAATTGTCGCAGATAAAAAATACCATTTAATTTAAATGATAATAATCAATATAACAAATTCAATAAGAAGAAAATTGCAACAGTTTAAATAATAATAATAGCAATGTAATTATAGGCACAAACGCTATTCTTGCGAGATATTCGCGATGAGTTAGAAGATAGTTTATCATGATTAAAAAGCGATTTATATTAATAATAATGAACAAATGAATATTAGTATCCTTCCGGTGTACCCGAAAGGTAGAGTCGAATGCATAATCGGCTATTATGAAATGTTTCAATTAATTACGATTACCATAGTCTACGCGCTTGCTAATGAGATGCTTATTAAAGCATACAATAATTGACTTCATGCCTCTGATATTAACAATATATAAACGAAGAGAAATTCGGATTGGAAGGAAACAATGGCGAACCAACGCTACTCCTTGCGTCCGCATTGCTATCCGTGCATCATTGTTCTGGCAATTCCGCACGTTCCTCGTCGCGCCATCGACATTGTATCATCAAATTCGAATCTGTTCACCGCAAAATATCACTTTATAATTCATCAAGAACAGAATGATCGAACAGAAATGATATTACTCCTTTTGATGCGAAACAAAATGACGCTAGCGGAAAGAACAAACGTGCCTGCCACGCGCGAAAAAAATAAAAGAGCAGAACGGTGAATTTTACATTTCTCGTATGACAAACGAAAAATAATCGAAGGCACATATCGTACGCGGAGTTCTCGTTTAAAGGCATCAGAAAAAGCTTTCATTGATCGCTATCGCCATCATGCAATTCTACGCCCTAGTTTCCTTTTTTTAACACCGTCTCGAAACTCATTCGAAGCTTTTTATTTGGATTGGAAAAAATAAATTCAAAACGCAAATAACCGCATGTGTTTATATACTGTGTACACAAAGAACATATAGCATTATAGAACTCAGATTTTTCGAAAGTTAAAAATTATTTCTTTTGCGGCAGAAACTTAAATGAATATCAAGTATACGTATATAAAAATTGTTACGGTGAAACATAAATATTTCAACGACATATAATAAATAAAAAAACAATGTCAATGTTTTAAAATAATATTGAATACAAAACATGTTTAAAAATTTAATTAAAAACTTATAAAATATTTATTTAATATTAGATAATTTTGGCTAATCTAAAAATCGGTTTTAACTTTGTCAAAAACAGTTCGTAATTCAAAATATGACAATTTTAGTATATTTATATTACACTGAATATTTTCCTATACATATGTTTATATCTTTTATATTTTGTACTTGTGTTTTTATATTTATATTTTCTAATAGTATGCACTTTCTTATTTATATTTCTCGATACAACTTATTTCTTACTTTGAAACAAAATATTTCGCGAATGCTAACAAGAAATATGCTATTCTCTTTTTAGTGACGCTGAGAACAGCGCCGCGAGAAATATCAGACTGTGAAAAGGTTTCGCCTCCTTCTCAATTACAAGTTTAACTAACCGTTTAGCATATATTTCTCTCCTTCTCTCCTTCTCTTTTTTCTACTTAATGTGGATCGCTCTGTGTTATAAACAGCATTCATTTGACCGACCCAGTTTATTAATTTATATAAAACGCGCGCGAAAATAATTGCTGAAAGCATCAACGAATATGTCAGTAAAGCAGAAAATTTGCTCGGTAATTTTTGTTAATGAAAGTTTAATGTCCTCACTACTTTTATGCTAACGCGCGACTGGAGCTTTATTCCCGTAACATTGGCGAAAGCAGCGTGTGATATATTTGCGGCAATTAGAGATCGCCTGCAGTTAACTAATCTTTTCATACGCGCGGAATAATCGATGATTTGCATTCAATATAAATTACACTTGTTCGTCAGTGTGAGCAGTATTAAATTAAAAAAAAAAAGATCAAATTATTTTTTATAAAACAATTCAATACATGTTTGGTGAAAACTATATCACGTTCAGGAAAGTTAAATCTTGAAACTTTAGTACAATTTTTTAACAATCATTTTTTATTCAACACGCTAATAATATATCTTTGTAATATTTAATTTTGTTATAAATTTTTTTTTGTTATTTATATTTGCTGTTAATGTTACAGAAAAATATTTAAAACAAAGTAATAATATTTATTTATTGTCAATTATATATTTTATTTAAATTTAGAACAATTTTTACTGTGAATATTTTTTTGAAAAAATAATAGAGGCTATGCCAGAATTTGATTTTTACCGCAAAACTGTAAGAGTATAAAAGATATATTATATATTTGAAAAGTATAATATCCTGCGCATACGCACACAATAATAGAAACCTTTTGATAGTCTCATATTTTTCAAAAATTTTTACTTGAAAAATAGCAATAATATTGAACAGAATATTTCTTTTTATTCAAATATCCTACTTTTGTGTGTTTAAATTCAACCTTTCCCCTTCTGTTCCCTTTCTTCTTGTAGACATTTCGCGACCTTTGAATATACTTAAGTAGGTTTCGTTGAAAATCGATGTTATATCGTGACTCATCTTCGTGCACCGAATATGCGGCTTTAATGCCAGAAACATCATAAAGGATATGATACTGAAGCAGTGGAGCTTAATTTACTAGGCAAATAATCTGCAAAGGATATCTTCGTCTTCTAAAACGAAAGACTTTTCGCTTTTCAAAAAGCTAATTACATTTGTTCACAACTATTTCGTTTCCATCCCGCGTTGTCGTTTCTACCGAAGGACAACTTACTTTCATAATCTTACCCGGCCGATGAAATTCTTTCACTGAGCAAAGTAGATATGGAAATAAATTGCAACCTTCATAGAGTCGGAGAAAAAATAACTATACAGATAAGAGAAAAAAAAATGCTTGAAAACTGATCGCAACAGAAAAGAAAGAGAATATATAATAGACTTTGTTACGTTTGTAAAAAATTATGCCTGTTGATATTATTTTACCTTTCTCTTTACGATATACTGACGAACTGAATTTTGCAGGCTTCTCACTAGCTCTTGAAAAAATTTTATTTTTTTCTAAAGAAAATTCTTGATTACTTGCATCCTTTGCGTATCGTTGCTATCACATTTTTATCGTTAGTCTTCTCCTGAAAAGTAGATTCCGTTCCTTTTATACGATCGTATTCCGACATCCGTTCCGTCGCATCCAGTTTCAATTTACCGGATCTGGCAGCAGTCCGATTGCTACTGTTTTTGCTCTAGACGAGTGTTTCCGGTGAAGTCGAATCGAGTTGAGCCAAGAAAAATGACTCCCACGACAAACAAAAGGAATACTCTGAAGATTAGGTGCATGCAAAACAGGATTAAAAGTCAAAGTCTCGATAAATAAAACAAAATTTCACAAAATAAAGAATTGTATATAAAATTTGCATTTTTAAATCAGAGACAAATATTATTATCAATTTTACAATTATTATTCTTAAGTAAATAAAGTCTGTTCTATGCATCAAATCAAACTGGATGCGGGACTGAATCGGAATAAAATTTCACAGATAAAGCTTATTTAAATTATGGATAAACAAATAACATAAACCTTTTCAGTGCGACGGCATAACAGTGCAAAATATATTCTAATAATTATACTATATATATTTTCTATATTTTATATTGTATACATCATTATAAAATATTCCTTTCAATTTTTACGTGTTGCGCATTATGTCCGATTACATATTAATGTTATGAATATCGGTCATTAGGAATATATTAATTAATAAATAATAAATTTTAATCGTTAATAGGTTATAAAATTAATTAATTAAACGTGAGTCATGAATATTTTCAACATTATCTTCCATTAAAATAACATGGATTATTATGGATTAAAAATATGATAATATTTCATATGTACAACAAGGTAATAATACTTTTTTAAAAAGGATGAAAAAAAACATACTTGTACACGCGCTTGTCGGAACATTATTATGCACACGTGAACCATCGCGTTTTATCTTAATAAGATCTCCCATTTATTCTACTTGGCATTGTTAAGAAAATAGCGTAGCTCTTTCTTTCTCTCGAATCTACTCGAATCCCACTATGCTTTCTTAATTTAAGCAAGACCTCCTTTTATCCCACTACTTTTTAGTGACGTTAAGAAAATGACGCGCTCGGACCACTCTGGTTGCAGTGCCCCACCTTCGCGCAATCGTCCTTTCGCGTGAATCGTCGCAAGAATCTAAACAAGATCTTCCTTCTGCCCCACTATTCGCGTTTGCAAGTAAGAAAATGACGCGCTCGGACCACTGCGGTTGCAGTGCCCCACCTTTCGCGCAGTATTCTTTCACGTGAATCGTTGCGTGAATCTAAACAAAAGTCTGTCTTCCGCCCCACTATAAGCATCGTAAGCGTCGTCAACAAATGAAGCGTTTCGGAACGCTCCGGTTGCAGCGCCCCACCTTCGCGCAATATCCTTTCGCGTGAATCGTCGCAAGAATCTAAGCAAGATCTTCCTTCTGCGCCACTATTGGCGTTTATAAGTAAGAAAATGACGCGCTCGGACCACTGCGGTTGCAGTATCCTAACCTTTCGCGCAGTATTTTTTCGTGTGAATGCTTGCGTAAATCCAAACAAAAGACAGAAAGATAGCTGCCCCACCACAGGCATCATCAAGAAACCGACGCGATACGCCTCGGATCATTCCAATAGCAGCGCTCCATCTTTTACGCTTTATTCTTTCGCGAGAATCACTTCTCTTAATTTAAACGAAACCTCAGCTTGTATCAATCGACCTGAACTATAAAATGGCTATGTTTTTACGGCTTTCAGTGGTCAAAAGTACAATCTGCTAAATTCTCGATACTGGAGCATCAGATGGACCCGAGCAGCAATTTCAGCAGTTATCGCAGCACATTGAAAGCCGCAATGTGGCGTAGCGCTGGCGCTACAGATGAACGCCAGCGAATCGTAGTGCCCTTCTTCAGCCTTCTCGTTAAGGACCTTTACTTCCTCAACGAGGGTTGCAGCAACAAGTGAGTAATATCCCCTCATAAAATGTATCGACGAACCATTCATACATTTTTTACAATGTGATGCAAATTACGGATATCGCACCCGACGCATATTGCATTTCACATTTAATTTAGAAATCAATATTATTATTAAAATAATGCGCGTCATAATTTTTTAATAACTGATCGGAGAAGATATATCTGAATAGTTGTACATCTGTTATGTGTGTGCATCTCATAAACAGACATCGACACAACTTGGACGTCAATACAGAAATCGAGATTATCGATTCGCAGCGTGTCAGACACAATGCGCCGCTAAGAGCTTTCGCGCAGCTAATTAATCCCGGCTGCTCAAGTTCAGTTATGCATTTCAGACTGCCAAACGGTCACATCAACTTCGAGAAGTTCTGGCAGCTAGCGAAGCAGGTAACCGAATTCATCGCGTGGAAACAAGTTGCCTGTCCATTCGAGAAGAATCCGCGCGTCATTGCCTTTCTCCAGGCAAGCCCCGTGCTGACGGAGAACAGTAAGCAATATCTATTTTATTCCGTTGTGAAAATACGGAAACGTGAAATTGTTTGATTCTACGAATGTTTGTCCTTTCTTTTTGCTACAGCACTTGCGCTAGCATCTTTCGAATGCGAGCCGCCTGACAACAATCCGGAGAAAGAACGTTATAAAGCTTTAAAGTGAGTATCACGACGCATTATAGAAATACGGTATTTTTTTAAACGTAAATATGTTATCGTTTCTTTGTAAGTACTAAAAAAAACGATAAATTACGATACAGTAAAATTTTCTTATAATTAATGTCAGTAAAGTGAAATTATCGCTGTAATATAACATAATAAAATTTGATTGGATCGCTGAATGATATCAATATTAACATATCTGTATCAAGTACATTCGTGACAATGTAATCCAATCTATAATCTCGACGAGATATATTGCAATGATGGTTTATTGCCTATTCAATTTTGCAATATGTTAATTTTATGCATTATTTATGACGTCATTGTTGCGCGGGTAAATAAGTTGTGCAGAAATTACATAACTGTTATACTTAGTGTACATATTTCATTGCAAAACAGTTTCGAAAAGTAATTCACGCCGATCGTATGGAGCAAAGGAGAAAGATTTTTTTCCAATTATATGTTAACAGGTCCGAGATGAATGCTCAGTGAAAGCAAGCTATGCCGATATACGCCGAATGGGAACGGTATTGATATAGATATATACATATATGAAGATACATTTATAAATATTAATATATTCGTAATCGTAGTTAGTTTATCCGCGAAAAATATGAGGAGAAAAGATGAAGAGTGGGTGGAAGAGCAACAACAGAAAATATTACCTACGGCGACTTACGTAAGTTTAGCTTTTTTTTATCTTGCGAATTTATGCGATATCAAAAATAATTTTTAATGACGACTTGTCAAAAACATTTACCTAATCGATCTGTACAGTCATCATTAACTTTTTCATCGTGTCTTTTCCGATTTGCCATACTCTGATTGGTTTTCTGCCAAATATTGAAAATATTAAATATTCTCTCAATTTCCGTTTTATTTCCGCGCGCAGAAACGTTATTTATGCAATACAATGTTATGAAATTTATTTAAAATTTACAACTAAATTCTAACCGATTGATTGTACCCGAATAGTAATCAATATTAGAATGCAAACGGTTAATGAATGAGATTGTACAGATCAATCAATTTTGATCAATATTTCTGAACCGAGTCTAAATCTTTAATCAGCCCAGTAGCCAAGAATCTTTACAGTTATGGTGCGAATATCGAGCTAAACACGCCTCGAGGATGAAATTCGCTGACAATGTCGCGTAGCCGTAAGTATAGTTCCTAAGCCTTCGACCCGTTGGTAGCTTTTCTCTCGAACGTGACCCAAACCGCGGCCCTCTTTATATTTCCAAACAGTTTCGAATGCGAGATCCGGAGATTTTTGGATCCGCTCGAAAGAGAACGCCATCGGCGCGTTCAACCTTTTGTACATAGCCCTTTTGATATACGCTAAACAGACTCTTAGGTGTGAGAAGTAGGGTCGTTCCTGTAGAATAAGCGCGCGCGATAAGTTCGGAAAGTAGGTCGTAAGAATCGTCATGCACGTACTTAAGAGGATGAGAAGATAATCGCGAGAGAACGGTCAATCGAGGCGAGGAAGATGGAGAAACCGAAAATCTCGCGCGAAACGATACGGCTCGGCCGGGAATTCGCATTTGATTCACATTGATGCGACACACATAATAGTCGCCTGTTTTGTTTCTTCTGTGACGCACGTAAATGTAAATCGTGAATAAAAAAACTGCGTAAATGCGATTTCATGCACGGCATTAGCGATCGAGGTACATTCGGTTGTGATAATCTCGTATACATGCTTTTTCGTAAAATTTGGTTGCGAATAAATCTTTAAAAGATTTAAATAATACGCTTGAATATGTGTGTAGCCGTGTGGCTGAAAATTATTCTTATATATACATATATTATATACACATATATAATATATTACAATATATAAATTTTTGCGTTTATATAAATGCATATTATCTACGTTTTCTATCAATATTTATCAATACGATTTAATTAACAAATGAGAAATTAGTCGTGATAAATTTAGCAAAAAATATATTCACGAATGTTTAGAAGCACATTTGACTTTCATAAAAAGAGCGTAATTATTGTCAATAATTGGTAAAATAGTCTTTTCTTCGAAACAAATTGGATTCTTTGTCGATTAACATGATTAATAAGCGTAAATGTAGTATGCCGTGCCTTCGATCGAACATAGCGGAAACGTTGTTTGATGGAGTTAGTCAATTTGGCTTCTGAGCAGCTCATGTATTAAACGCAAAATTTACAAATTATTATGAATGAAATTTATAAATTATTATGAAATATCGGACTCTATCAAAGACGTATTTTTAACGCGTGCGTCACTATTTTCCGCGAGATAAATATATTTCTCCCGTAAAATCGATGGCTTCATAGAAATTGAGAATACAAATCTGTTGCTACAATATATATCAGATAAAATATCCATTTCTTTCGTATTTATTGTTAGATAAATACTTGCCCGGATATATTCGAAAAGAAGACATATGTGTTTCCGAACAGTTATAGGGACCAAGAGTTCGTTTCTCCTGGGTATGTAAATTTTGCCCATGGCACGACAAAATACCGGGAAATTGCGATGGCACGATTGAAGAAGGGAAACAAAACGAACTGTTTCGAATGTCGCTCACTGGATCACGACTTCGCGGCCTGAGAGAAAATTGCATGCGAATCGCGAAACGCGTTCCAGATCGCGATCTGGTTTAACCGAAAGGGCTGCACATACACAAATCGAAGAAATGACGATGTTACGTCGTACGCAATAACATTTTACGATTCTTCGACACGATAATGTGTTGCAAGGTAAAATCTCTTCCAGTTCTGTCCTTTTATATATTTAACTCATTCCCATTTGATTCTTAATAAGAATTCCATATCCGTTCTCATTTCTTCCCGCGGTCAACGAAACGATCGATCGTGATTGCCAGAAATAGTCGGTTACGATTTCCTCTCGTTGACGAGAACACCTACGTTTCGTTGCATTTTTCATGTGTTCTCGATGAGTTAGAAATGCAATCTCGATTTTCCTCCCTTCTCACATTTCGATCAACATACATATATGATTCGTATTTTAATTGCGTTTTTCTCTCGGCATGTGTGAAGTAACAAGTGACAAGCAGATACGAAATGCATTTAGCACGAAGTGTATAGAAAGATCGCGTAACAAAGAAAGTATAATTTATCGAAACGACAAATTACGCGAGCTCTGCGCGAATCAGGTCATCGTAAAGAATATTCGAAAAAATATACCATTAAGATAAATCGTTAATAATCATTGATCCACGTAGGACGCGTTATTAAAGTGCAATTATCAATTTTTCCTGTATGCTTTTCGGCAATCAATGTCCTTATTACCTTTTACATAAATCATATTTATTATGAAATAATAATTGACGAGTCATTTTTATTATTGAATATCCTGCGCAAGCATACGTACGTTTCTTAATTATAAAATGTTTTTAAAACTTTATATAGATAATGTATTAATAATAATAATAATAATAATATAGCTAAATGAAAAAAAATATATGAGCATGCGCCGAAACTGGTTGTTGTAAACAACGTCTTTTTTAACATTTTTACAGATTTACAAGTGCTCGATATGATCCGTCAATTTTTACTTGCCATTTTATAAATATTTGATAACGATCTTCGTCCAGTTTTATATTAACTCGATCACAATCATCCATTAATCCATTCGCGGATATTCGAACGAGATCTGGTTGCGTCTCGAGCTCGTGGCAATTTTCCATAAGTAGTGACAAAACCGACGATTAAACATGCACGTTATCGTAAATCAGTGACTAACATAAGGCTAATTATGCTGTATCGTCTTAAGCGGGGCGCGTGTTACATTGTCAATCTTCATAGCGTTATCTCACGATCGCACGATCATCATTCGTATTCATGAATCTTTCTCTCTATCCTCTCGACCTCCTCTGCTCGATCTCTGTTAATACATTTCATCGAATCATCCCTGTTCATTTTGCACTCCTCGCGCAGCATCATATATCCTCGATGGATTTTCTACCGTGCTATTTTGTACGATTTTTGTAACAGACTCAATACGATAAGTTTTCCGAAACGAAAATGCCGTTATGAAGGTATGATACATCGATGCAAAGCCGTTCCCATAATCGAGCAAAACATTTTCCGGATACTGATCCTTCCCCCCGCATCACTATCACTGTTTCGACCCTCAACAATCCCTTATCGCCTCTTTTCTCCTCTCGTTCGACGACATTAGTAACGTTCTATAATTAATATAATTCTGTACATAAAAAGAAAGTCGTGTGTGTATATATAATTATATACGTATCTATATACGTTATTTAGATTTAAAGTATAGGTCGCAATCGAATTTAGAAGACGCGGCGAAAGCGGAAACAGGTCCGTCTCGCGTCACTAATCTACGACTAGTATCAGCGACTGTAATCGCAGATCGGTCAATCCGAGATTGCCTAATGCCACTTTAAAGTATGTACGTACGTTCATCCTCGAGCGATTAATTGGAAGACGACGGTAATTCTTGCTTAACATCTAGTCATTAGATCGTTAGTTTGACCCGAATTTGTGTCATTAAAAGGACGGATTTTCCTTTTAAATCTTTATTTTAGTAAATTATTTTAGTGGAATATTTATAAATATTTTTCTGCTTAATGTATAAATGTTCTAAAGAAGCTATTGTAATATTTTGGAACAGCTATACATATATTTATTATGTATGTATTTCTATATATTTTTACGTATACATATTATATATTTTAAGAGTTTATTATTACATCTCTTCCACATATATCAATATAACATATATTTTTCAGCGACACAGATTCGGGCCACTTTATGCCTAAATTAAGCGCATTTAAATTAGATTTAATATTAATTTCCATGCTAAGCGTATTCTTGATCGACATTCCCTTAAGTGACATAAGATTATAATTGCGCACCATGTGACGTAGATAGGATATCTTCTTTGTAGAATTCTATGAACTCTTTGTTTGTCATTTTATAGCAAGTACAATCGATGTATTTAATAATTTTTAATCACTTTCTTTTGCATATGCACTAAAAAATCTTATATTAAGCGTATTCTGGCGTCAAATCTCGTTTACAACATTGTCATTCGAGATCACTAATTTCTTGCCAATAGAAAACTTTAATCATATGTACTCTGTGTGATTTGTAAGTTTCTTTTTGTTCGCAAGTATCCGTAAATATAACAAAAGTCAATATAATGAACGCTCGAAAGAGCAAGAGTTTAACTTTCGGTTTTATGAGGATTGTTTCAAAGGAAATCATGATCTTTGGGTTATTCGCGGCCGAAATAAATTTCAAATTACAAAATATTGACAAATATGTACGAATTAATTTCGTAAAGAATAGAAAAATATTCGTACAATTGTTTGAGATATATATTTTTTTGCAAATCTTTAGATTTTTACAAGAAACATACGATTATGACTTCAAGTATAATCTTTATATTAAAATCTATGAAAAAATCTATTCAAACTTTATATTGATCAATGTTTTATACGTGCTATTGATTGCAGTAGTTTTCATTGTTTTAATGTCTTTATGCTTTTAAAAAGTGACTTAATAAGCGAACAATGGGGAACTATTAGCTTTTGTCCGATCAGCCTAAATCTATACAGCAATATAATATTGTAATTCAGCTATGTAAGTTTATGTTGCAAACGCATCGTTTCTTCCGCGATTGCATACATTTTTTATTCAATTTGTATAAACGCCATCCACTGAGTTATCACCTTGGATTGAATCGGGTCAGATATGTTGGGACTATTGTACATAAAATAGGCTCAATCATGTAACACAAAAGCAGCAATTACAATTATTGTAGAAACGAAAATGTCTTACGAAATAAACTGCAAATTAACAGAATTACCTCCGACTGGTTACTATGCGCCTTTCGTGCATGACACAGCAACAAAAGGATAAAAGCAATAAATATATATGACAAGTATCTAATTATTATTATATTTACAGGTGGATGATAAAATTGTCATACGTAATGATTGCCCGGTACAAGTGGAATCGATACGTACTACAGTTTAAAAAATATTTTTTAAGAATCTACAATAACTAGCGTACATTGAACTATATTAAACATTCGAGAATTTTATAATTCCAATAAATCTTTTATCTACCTGCTAATGATTCTATAATCTTCTGATCGATCCATCGGCGATAATGCGCTACACGGACATAAACTCCAGGTTTGTTCGCCTTACCGCAATGCTGTCCCCAACTGGTTATGCCATATAAAGTAAAAGCTCCTAAAAGGTGTGAATGTTAACTGTGCCATCATTGGAGATATCAATGTGTTATCCTTTCAAAATATTTCAATCTCGGATTCCCGCGTGAAAAATTTTAAAGGATTAAGTATTACTTTTCAATATAAAGATTTTTTGCGAACTTTGTCACTTTTTCTTTCACGATATCTTTCATTATAATTAAATATTTTAATATTACCATTGTGATAACACGCCAGAGGACCGCCGGAATCGCCGTCACATGTATCGACACCTTCGTCAAGGTAACCGGCACACATCATTCCCTCGCTTATAGCGCCTTCGCCGTAAACATAACTAGCTCGGCATATTGACTGGTCCAGCAGAGGCACCCAGCCGTATCGTAAATCCTTCGATTGCACTGCAAGAGAAACAACGGTTTAATACATTCTACAAGTCAGCTTAGAATAATCTTCTCCGGCATCTTACTTACTTGTCTTTCCCATCTCGATACTGCCGAATCCGCTGATCGTGCAATTGAGTCCGGGCGAATATTCAGTATTCTCGGATGGCAAGCAAATTGGCATGATATCCTTGCCAAGCGGGATACCGTGACCCTTAAGTAGAACCAGAGCGATGTCGTTGTTCATCCTGTGGCCTTTGCGGAATTCGTCGTGTATATAGTAATCCTCGATATTGGCCTCTGCTTCCGTTCCCTCGTCTATCTATAATAATGATGTTAAACGCGCGATAGAAAATATTCTACGCTTAACTAATATACATTTGGAATCATAATTTCTTTACATCTGTGTTATAATCTCCGGCACGAACGAAATAAGTGCCTTTGTTGTAACCTTCCAAACAATGCGCCGCTGTCAACACATGTAAAGGCGATACGATGACTGCGCCGCACCAGTGATTCGATCGGCTATGTCCTCTGACCCGAATGCTGGCCTAAAATTTATTCAACAATCGCGTATCATTTAAGATAATAACTTTATTTTAATCCGAAATTTCACTCTTGCGTTTAATGCAATATTCGATTTAATATTAAATGTAAAATGACAAGATAATTTATTGGTCACTATAAAATATGAAATTTATTTTATGGAAGTAATTCACCTGCCACGGATAGGTGCCCTTTGGCGCTACGGATCCATGCACCACTTTTTGAAATATCAACTCTTCATCGTCGTTAAAATCTTTGGCACGTTTGCCACAATGTGATGGGAGAAGCTCGTCGATATTTTGTTTTGGAAGTTCCGAACTGTTCATCCAGTATGGCTGCTCAATAAAAAGGAAAGTTAAGGATGAAATAAATGAACAAGTTATATAAAATATCGTTTATTTGAAAATTATTATAAATACTGCATTTATATTACAAATTTACAGAAAGTTATCGATATATTTTTAAAGAGGTAAATGTTATATACAATGACGGTATATTTCTCTGATAGATATTTTTAATTTAATATTGATTATCTATTTAAAAAGAATTCTGATAAAAATACAATTTTCAATCTCGAAAATTATATTAAAATAACTGTTGAAAACCTATTTTTATTTACCTTGCCATCATTATTCACATCTCCAGCTGAACAAATGACACCTGCATCCTCGTTATGATCGCAGTTATGCTGACCCCAGTGATTATGTTCGCATCGATATAATTGCGATTCGTTTCCATGACAGAAGACCTATTTTGCAAAAATAAGTTAGATTTATTTCCAGCATTAAACACACAATAAAATATTTAATTAAAGACAACTAAATAATGAAGACATCGTCAAAACACATGTTAAATAAATATAAATATAATAGAAAAAATTTTTAAGTATAAAAGTTAAAGTCTTTTAATAAAAATATTTGAAATAACAAATTTTCGTGTCTGAAATCAACGAAAAGTTGAAAGTAAAATTTATAATAGCAATAACCTCGTCGAGCCATATTAGTCCTTCGCCAGGCCCAAAGTATCCATCTTTCTTGGCGATTGCGATACCACCGTAGCCCAATGATCTACAAATAACCGTTGCTGTGGTATTTGTGAAATCATCATCACACACAGTACCCCACACACCGTGATGACGTACTTCCACCCTGCCTTGCATAGGGCTGCTGCCATTCACCAAGCGCAATTCAAACGGCGCCTAAAATCGATAAAGTCGTATAAACATCTACAAATCTGTTTTCGTCTTTTGCTGAACTTACGTCGCAATGTTCCGGACTTTCGTCAGATTGGTCTGGACAATCAACCACTTCGTCACAAATGAACGGAGTCTGTATGCAAGTTGGACTATTATCGCATTTCCAATAACCTTCCTGACAGGTATTGACCGCGGTCTTACACGCGACACCGACAGCTTCTTCCGGCTGACAGTTATGAACTCCCCATCTAAGAACGAGAATATAAACACAGTTTAATTCAGTTCAATTCTAAT